CAGCTTGACAGGGAAGCCGCTGATCAACGAAACGAAGGATCACAACAACATAGTATAGAAAAAATGGGAATTCTACAACAACAACAACAACAACAACAACAACAACAACAACAGCAACAACAACAACAACAACAACAACAACTACTACTACTACTACTACTACTACTACTACTACTACTACTACTACTACTACTACTCACCAGAGATACAAAATAAACGATCCAAAAATATCGACGCTTTCTACAGCAAAATATAGTCCATTCCCCATCTCACAAGCCTGCTGCATTTCGAAGCCCATTATAATCAATTCACGGTTGACCCTACCCGTCAGATCAGAGGTATTAGCTGGCCACCGATTGGCTCCTCCTCCCTCCTCATCCTCCATATACAGCTCCGGCAGCCGAGTCGAGAGGCGCACCCTACTTCGAGGCCCTTCCTCCTCCTCCTCGTCATCGACCGTCCTCAGCAACATCCACACTGCCACTACGTTCACCGCCACTCCAGTGCCCACCAGCACCCCTCCTCGCAGCCCTAGATGGTGAAACTCTGACAACAACAGTATTACTACTACCAGTACGCCCACCACACGCCCTTACCCTCAAAGTAAACACCAGCCACTACAGCTTGTATCACCGCTGCTATCGAATAGTACACTGGTAAAAACCATAGTGTCTGACAACATGAGTAGCCCAAGCCCTCCCAGAAGACCCTTACATTGAATCTTATCAGCCCTAGATTGAGCAAGAAGAGCCCTCCCGCCTCCGCAGTGGCCCCAACCGCTATTATCTCCCACTGGGGTTTCGTCAGAAACCACACTGCTTCCGGATGCGATAGCGAGTTCAATGCAAGATGCACTACAGATCTACACAGGTCCAGTCAGGAAGATTCAGATCAGGCCCAAAACTTGCCATCACCTCACAAACAGTAGTGCCAACGAGGTGAGCATTGCCGCAGGGACCGCGAACAGCAGTATGTCCACACCCGTATGTTTCACCCAGTGCATACGTGACGACGTCACCGACAGGCTAACAACGCATGCTCATCTCCCTATCTGGTTTCTCCTTGCTACTCACATTTTCACCACCGCTGCCGCCAACACCCCCACCACTATTACTGCTATCAACACCAAAAACGGCCGCTGGGCAAAACTGAACAACTCCCCCATCACCCACACACAGCGAAGCACAGGCCTACTGGGACTCCAACTCCGCCTCTTTCCTCCATGCATCCCCCTTCACAGTACCACCGCTGCCGTCCACCAGTAGCATAATCAGCGTCGAGCCATCCGCCATCAGAACTGCGGTAGAGCCAGCAGCCATCAGCCACGCACACTGCATCGACCACCTGAGGGACCGCCTACCTCCAACACGTAAGCCCATATACTACCCTCTGTGCTTCTCCCCAAGTAACCACGGTGCTAGGAAAGAGTTACTGATGATTATGATAGCGTTGAGAAAAGCATATGTAAAATGAGGCGCCATCGCTAGAGCATGTAAGCAGCCATATTGGCCAACACTGTATAGAACCAGGCCCGACCAGAGATACCTAAAATCACCAGTATTAGAGTACATGCTCGCTTTCCTCAGCTAATCTCAGAAGTTTCCTCACTAATCATAGAAGTTTCCACACGAATTCGGGTAGAAGTATACGGAAACTAACCAAAATCTCCGTAAATTCACTTAAAATTTTTATGTCATCACCAACACATGTACTTCAACCATGTGCATATTTTTCCACACTGAAAAATACCGCAGCTAAATCTTCACATACGTAATATTCACAACGACAACGCAGTACCCTCACCAACCAACAGTCTACTACCAGTGCTGGAGTGTATGCTCAGGAATTTCGCCACTAATAATATAAATTCACCCACACCTTTGCGGTGGAAGTACACAAAAAATCAAAAAGACTTTCCAGAAATTTCCAACGCGCGAAATAAACTAAATTCATCTATCCCACCACACTGCCCTCCATAAACCAGTGCTGCAAAAAATGTTCGCCTCCCTCAGCTGAGCTCAATACCTTCCTCACCTATCATTGGAGTTTACATACGAATTGGCAGAATATATGAGTATTGTTCTAAAATTTCCTCAGCCTCAATATTGTCACCAACACATGTGCCGAGCCATGTCCATATTCTACCACACCGGTCCCCCCATAAACTGATCAACAGTCCTAACCCGAACTTTAGTATTACCCGTTAGTGAGGTAGTCCACACTAAAACCACATGTCGCCCAAAAGCCCCTACCACCCATCCCACACTTCACCGTTGCCAACTTCTGCAATATCATGCCCAAATTGATAGCCACGCATGCCACAAGGAGGAGGACCACTCCGATGCTTCCCGGCCGCGCAAGGGCTTCCAACATTCCCAAGGGGCTCAAGAAAGGGGATAGAAAAAAATATAAAAATTGCTGTCACCGGGATTCGAACCCTAGACCTCTCCCATCACACAACACTGCAAAGCCTCTGAACATCTAAACCACATGCTTCATTCATTTTCTCTTCTTTACTCTAAGAAACTCCTCTACTACTCCCCACCAACAACAACCATTTCCACCTACTTATACGTTCCGTATCTTTTTTTAAGTCCGAGAAACTTCGACAACTTTCCACTCTTCTTCCCTTCCGGCTTCTTGAACAAAAATATACCTAAAATTTTCACCACTACCCAAAATCGAAATCAGCTTCCACTCTACTCAGTATGAAATCCAGCAAGGCCCTTCCTCTCCCATTCCCCCGCGCCTTGCTCATCTTCGGGCACAGACCCCCCAAAGTGCCAAGCCCCAACTCTTCCGACAACTTACTACATGTAACGCCCTGTATGACAAATCTTGCATTCTTGCAACCACTTGCATTTCCTCAACTACTACCTCCCCATTCTTCTCCTTCATAACCGACCGTTTCTCCCCTCCTGCGGCCGCACACGCCAAAAGGAATCTGCCCGCTATCGCTGTCGAGTCCAAGTCCACCCACCTCTCACCGAACCAAGTAGAGGTTCCTCATCCTTATAGCAACATGCAGTAGCGTGTCACCATTCACGATCTCAAAGTTCGGCGAATGGAACACAGTCCTGAGCCCAGCGTCCTGACTGGCAGCACCAGTAGCAGCAGAGACTGCTTACGTCCTGGCCCCGCCAAACCGTATGCCTCTGTACCGGAGTATCTCCCCTTCAATGGGTAGCACCTCATCCTCACCCACACCATGTCGCCCTCTACCTCTCCTCTCCTCCTCAAACAACACCTTCAAGAACCTCTGCGTCGGGTAGCTCATTGGCCCCCCAGGGTCCCCTCCCTCCCGGGACTGTCCTCTCAACAACACCGCAAGCCCACCGCTTCGCTCCGCTGCTGACAACTGTTCAGCCGCTTCCGGCAAACTCAAAAGCCTCGAGGGCCCACCAATATACAACTCCTCGTACCTACCGAAACCCCCCTCGACCCCAACAGCACCAACCCATTATCAGGGTGGGAAAATCTGCACATGGTCACCTACATGTGTCGGTGACAAAATGAAAATTTTGGGAAATTCTTGCTAGTTTCTGAGCACTTCTACCCGAATGAATATCAACACCTATAATAAGTGGGGAAACTCCTGAGCTGAGCTGACCAAAGCCAAGATGTATTCCAACACTAATACTTTCCCATCCACACTCTACTCTCCGTCCAAGCATTAGCAGCAGACTGCTTCTGCTCCTCCTCTCTTTGGCGGCGACCAGACACCACCCTCGACCGAGACGACATCGCCTCACTCGCCAGCACCAACCACTTAAAGCGGACCCCGTCAGAGGATAGCACCTTCTCTATTGCATCCTGGCAAACACAATACTTCCGGAGCGAGCGGAGCATATACTGCAACAACCAGCACGGTATCGCGCTGTGTACGAATGTACATACGATCGTACGTGCGCGCGAGCATCCGCTCTATCCCCAAGTATCCGAGGGCACAAGATCGACCAAACGAGCCCTCTATCATCCGAGGTTCACACAAGAATCGAAAAACTCGAGTACCCTTCAAGAAATTTATGCGAGAACAGTTCTTGACGGAAAAATGTACAACCCGGGGATCGAACCGGGGACCTATCCCAGGGCGAAGCTTGGTGCGCGAGTCCAGATCTAGGACTACCAAATGACCATGACGAACGCAATTGAAAATCAATTTTGCTTATCACATCACCACAACGATCATCACATCCCCAAATCCCCACCAGAAGATGCGCACTGAACGAGCTCCACCCTAAAAAGACCTAGTGAGTAACATTTCACTACTACCTGCCGACAAAGGGAAGCTATGACATCTCCAGCGATCTCCAGCTGTACACCATCATGTGGTGGCTTCCTATACGCACTAAACCGTTCTAAAGAGCAGCAATACAAAAAGGGCGGAGCGAAGCAGCATCAGCCCAGCTCTTCCTCCTCCTCACGTATCGACATCAACACTTCCTCTTGCCACAACGTCCCTTCAGCTATCACCGACTTCAACTGTGCCTCAGCAGCGGCCACTCTACCAAAATAGTCGTTACCCTGTCACCAACATCCTCATACCATCCAACACCGCCCCCAATACTCCTACCAACACCGCCTTGTCATCTCCCTCGCCAACACGGGCACCACCTGGCTTCACCACTCTACCATAAAGCCCTTCCAAATACCCTCTGCCACCGATGCGAGGGTCCTGATGACCACTACTACTCCCAACTGCCCTCGGCCCTACCAACAGGTCCATCCTCATTGCTACTCCTCCTCCCGGGTTGAATCTCATCGCCTTCTCAGGAGTGATTCCCTCAGCATTTCTAGCCTCCACATCCGCGCCCATCAATAACAACATCGCGATCAACAAACGATCTCGAACCCTGCCAAAGCCATACCACTCCTTCCCCAACTTCCCAGTGTCCCCACCTCACACACATATGCAGAGCTGTGTCCCCTGCTACTGCCCCCTGCCAATACTTCACATACCGATTCCCCTCCCCTCCCGATTTCGACACCTCCACCGAACGCCCTAACACACCACCCTTCCACATAAACACCAACAGCATCAACTCACCACTGACAGGCGACATCACCTCCCCAACGCCCTTCCCCCTCGCCAACAACGGTCTGGTCATCAACCCCGTCGCTCCGCCATATTCAACCGAAATCACCGCATGCCTGTAAATGCTCGTGCCCACTAAACACTACCGCCACCATTCACCTCGCCTCAACGACTTTCGATGGACTGATATTCTGTCGGGCCTCACCGAATTGGTTTTCAGGCGCTGCAGAACAGCAATCAAAAATGAGAAAACCGCTCCCCCCTCTCTACCGGAGATGTCACGCGTTTTACTAGTCGCCGAAGTAGACACGACCTGCTCGTTAATCCAACTATTATTGCTCATCAGCAATCCTCGCAGGACCTACCGAGAAGGACGCAGGTTCGATCCCTGCATCACACAAAATACAACAACATCAACAATTTCCCCCTTCATTTAAAATTATTCCCCATACCATTCCTCTTCCAAATCGTAGGGGCGTCCGCTACCTTCTGTCTTCCTATTCTGATCTTCTCCAACCGATCAGCCTCCACTCCATCATCCTCCGTTGAAGCCCCAAGATTATCACTGATCATCACTTCCCCCAAGAGGTTCAATCCCTCCACCACCCAACGACCCCCTTTCCCTTTCCCCCTTCCTTCCGATGCAACAGCCCTAGGGCTCGGCCCTGGACCATATGCTCGAGCTGGTCGAACCTACCCACCCCAACCTCATGCGGCCTCAACCTTCTATTCAAAATAGTACACCTCTATCGCTCACACAACGACCACCATCAGACAACCAAGCAAAGACTACACCATCACACGTCACCTCATTTTTCGACCAAACCTTGCGGCCTTGCCTTTTATCACCGTCCCTAACACCACCTATATGAAAAAAATGACGCTACCGAGGATCGAACCCGGGACCTCACTACGTGCCGAGCTCTTCTCTCTTCTCTTGCCGTGTTCATAAGAAACAGAAGGCATATGTGACAACCACATCAACTAACAGGCCCTCTTGCTATCTTGCATTTCCTCAACGCAAACACATAACTCCCTTAGAAGCCTCAGAGCTTACGTACCTGGCGTTACCGCCTATTGAACTTCCAATAATACAAATAGTTTCCACTGCACAATATTCCAACGACTTCCTACGACCGTTGAGGAAATGCAAGTGAGCAAGATTCGCAACACGAACCTCCTCCTCCTCCTCAGTCACTATCGCACAGGTCAATGAGTCCCCCCTCAAGGACCTTACCAATAGGCCCTCGAGGTACCACACCCCTACATGAGGAAAGCAATACCACTCCACCATTGCATCAGCCGCCCTCATCCTACCGTGCATGACGCTTCCTTCGTCTCGATTTCTTGCTGTCTTCATCCATCTCGGCCAGCCTCAACCTCCTCTTCCTACTCCGATCCCTCTCCCTCTCCTCATAAGGCCTATACGCTTGCCTCAGCAACGCTTCGCTATACTGTTGCTGGTCCCCTCTCCTTGAGGACGGCAACACTCCACTAGACAGATAACGATGACCATCCATCATCCCAGAGGGGGGCGGCACGCCGTTCGCTGTAGTTGGAGGGATAATAGGATACTACATAAAACAATGAGATACATTCTCTACTGCTATAAGACCGCTACTACTACTACTACTACTACTACTACTACTACTACTACTACTACTACTACTACTACTACTACTACCTCTTCCATATACCAGTCCTTTCCCAACGAGGCAGAGGTCGAAGACGAGGACGGTCCCCCACTGCCTTCTTTCAAACGACTAGCAATGATATCTTCAACCGAAGGTGGCGACCCATGCTGCATCACTCCACCAATAGGAGCTCGATACGAGTCCGACAGTAACTACATGACGGCCCTATTCTCTACCTCACCACCACCAACAGAGATTCTCACCGGATATCGCGGCTTTGGCAACAAGGGAGCCTCATCGTCGCTCGAGGAAGAGGAGGAGGAACTTCCCATCAAATCCACCATGACCCTCTCTCGTGGACGGTGCGATGACGACCCATGACTCTCGGCAGGCACGGTCGTCGAGGTTTCCTAAGTTCCACAATGAAACCCCTTCAAACGCTTTTATCAGACGCTATCCCGGTCACTCAAAAAACAATTCTAAGCCGAACCAGAGAATCAACCAGGAACCTATTTTGAATTTTCCACATGATCTTAACAATCAATTTTCTATGTAAATTTCATTGCATTATTAACATTTTATCATTATTATCAAACCCAAGAGAACGTTATTTCTTCAATCAAGATGAGCCCTTGAGCCCAACTACCGAACAAGTTCATGCGAAGTCCGATGCGCCCCATAAAAAGTACACCACAGCGTCGACCAGCAGCCCACCTCTTCCTCTTCCTTCGTATTAGATAGTCCTCCTCCTCCTCCTGCGCCCTCTCCCTCACTCTCCTCCCCACTACCCGATGCATAGTCCGATGGATCCACCGACCAATCCAGCGTCCTCTTATCAAGATGGACCTGCGCCCGCTCTCCCCCACTTTCTCCAGCACATCCCTCTCTTACCGAATCACAGGTCGGCCGTCCAGATGCATCCGAAGTCGCCTTGATGACCTCCAACACAAAACCATCCACGACCAAGTCCTCTGGCCTCACCACACGAGAACACACACCGCACTTCCACCGGTTGTTAAATGCCGACATCTTCGGTTGAGTTCCAATAAACATCTCCAAATCAAAACACTGAGAACCCAAACACTTCCAAAACCTTCCTCGGCAATTCCTCCTCACCTGCATATGCGTGCACAGCTTCCCTCTAGCCGGTGCTACCATCGGGCACATCGACAATGGACACGTCAAAGGCAACACCCTAGCACTACTAATACCACCATATGTGTGCATTAAACTCCCACCTAGTGTTGCCCTCCTTCTCCTCCTTACTCCCCTCTATCTCCACATCCTCGTCATCATGCAGACCCTCCCTATTTAGAACTCGCCTGATCCTCTCCCGGCACTCTACACTGCTCAGGATTGGCACCTGGGAAGGAAAAAATCCCTCGATTCCAAATCGATCTCGATATCACTGCACTGTATGAATCACAATTCTCAGCCGACAGATGCGTACCCCTCAGTGTAGGAAGATAAGCACATGAGCAAGTACACATGTCGGTAGGAATACGGAAATTTCGGGAAATTCCTCCTGTCTTGGGTAAATTCCCATAATATAGTGAGAGAGCTCCTCATCTCAGCTGAGTGAACCAAACATATATTCCAACATCGATATCACTACCAAATCTCCCCACACTTTCGCTACGGTACCCCCTCCCTAACCCTAGCTCAGCCCATCGAAATGCACTTACCGACTTCACTAGGTCCTCAGCGGTTCGTCTAATACAAAGTACGAACGCCAGAACGAACTCCTCGGGTTTACTACCGCCCTTCGGTGAGGGCGTCGATGACACCTATAATCATCATCGCAATCGTCCCAATTCGACACGATACCCCTACCACTATTCTATTCACCTCCTCGTGCGAGCTGAGGCAGGCGGTGATGTCAATAGGCTCATCCCTGCGCACTTTGAGGTGCTTCGGAGGGTCGATCTACACAAAACGGCAGTCCAAGATTTTGATATGAGAAAATATCTAAGATGTTTGGTGAAGAAATCAGCTCAAAATTCGATGTAGTTGAGAAAAAACTATCTAAGAATTGTGGTTTTTAGATGTCGCGTAATGGGGCCTCATCCGTATCTTGCCAACTCGAACCTAAGATTCCCCCTCACCTTCACTGCCTCACTATTATTAATCCGCACTTCTAGAGTATACGGCCACTGGTGCGTTATTCGCTCACTCGACAGCTTCATGCGGCTGATAACAACAACTCCAATAAATGCCCCAACCGGGAATCGAACCCGCGCCCACCTCCTCGCAGGACAGCGTATCATCCGGGCGAACACCCGCGCCCCTTGTCGTCGCCATTCCTTCACATGCTTAGCGTTAAGCTCGGCAAAGAACTTCCCATAACTCAGCCTCCACATCCCCAACACCGCCCGACTATTGACCTGACCAAACCGCAACATGGGGCCTTCTACCTCTACCTTCCTAAGCTGTGTCAATCACTTTCGTTCGCAACAAGCACGATAATGATAACATTCACTGAGGACTGTCCTCACTTTCAACACCAAAATGGTATACAATACCGTTTGAGACGACTCTACTAATCCGACCAATTTACGGTATGGACAATTGGAGCTCCATCGTCCTCAATGATTTCTTTCGCACACAGCAGGCTCCGAAAATTTCAAAAAAATGTACAACTTCTACCCAAAAAAACCCACATCTCAAAACCGCATAGGCGATGAAAGTCACAACACCAGCAACTAGATCATAGGTGACGCCCTCCCTTGCCGATACTACCGCTGGAGGTGCTGCCTCCCAAAAAGGATCCATCGCTTCAAACACTTCTTCCAAGTCGGGGTCCTTCACCATGTGCCCAGGGAGCCCGCCACTTCTATTTGTCGTGCCCGAGGACGGAGTCGCTGCAGCAAATTGATATGAATGTCTACTCCCATCTCACTTACTACCCCCAAATGTCCTAGCCGCATTCTCAGCATGACTAAAGTACATATCCCCCCTAACGGCACTCGACTCGCCATAGTAGTCCCCTTGCGCCCGACCGAACACTGAATTACCTACAACAACCGTCTGCCCGTCTACAGGCTCTCCCCAAACACTCACCCCCTGTACGTTGGAGCTCCTGCCAAGCATGTGGATTCTCTATAACATATTTGACAAGGCGGTCTATCAGCTCTTGCTTTCTACCTCCTACCCGTAGCCGAAAGTGCCTAGTAGAGTGCATGCAGCCCACCGAGGCAAAGTAGTAGTACCGGGCAATGTCCTTTAATTGGTCTATAGTACACTTGCCGAACCACCGTTCGTGGGCTGCGGTGACCGGCGAGATGGGTGACTGTCCCCCTGCAGAGGACATACACAGAGAAAAAGAGGAGGAAGGAACTCCATCAGAGACATCAATACGTTTCTACCGCGCGCCTGATAATTCGTAACGAACGTTGCGTCTCCCGAGAACGACCACTGACCCCACCTCAGGAACGAGCAGACTGCCGATTATAACAACCACTGGTGAGCTGCCGCTATGATACGACACGTAATATGCCGTACTGGTTTCTCCATTACCAGACTCGGCTGAGCGACCCTGCGGCCTCGACAATGGAATTTTCAGAATCTTGGATTTCTAAGGCAACTTGCATCTCCTCAATTTTCAGTTTATACCGCACGCCGGTGAATGCTGTCCAGTTTTGACGAAGGCAATCTATGCTCCTTTCATGTTGCTCCCACTAAATACTTTTGTGACGTATTTTGACGTAATGTCTGTACAACTGCGTTGAGAGTGTACCGGAATCCCACTAAAAATTTTACATATACTCTTTATATTGACTAACTAGCGGGACACCTCATACCATACCTCCCCGAAATCAATCTATATTAAACACCTGTGTAGTCTGCCTTCTTTTACCTTACTGCTACTAGTACTAACTGTTGTGATTCTCACGCGATTTGCATTTTCTTCGGAAGTGTTTCTCTACTCTCGACGCTATTATGGACGGACAGAGGAGCTAGAGGCCGAACACAGCAATGTTCTTAGATGTGGATGCATCTTGTAGAAAATACTCGAGTTGTACTTGTAGGATAAACGGTTCAGCGTGACTCATGCTACTGTGCCGATGGAAGCGATAAATATTGACCACGTGAGTGGTAGAAAACTGCCGCATTCTGGAGGGTTTTGTAGTCGGATGGTTCGAACTATGCAAGGGCCACCCTTGCGACAAAAAAGGTAATCGTGAAGATCAAAGATTTCCGACCATACTTGAGATGCAGCACTCGGATCGAGTTCGCGCTACTCAACACAACACCTCATTAGGTTTACGACTCCTCCCGAACATGCGCATCAGCGCGGAATTCAATCATCCATGGTGACCTCTCTCAAATGAGCCATCTATTTACTCAGTGGGAGTGCACTCGACCTGAAGAATCGGAACTCCACACGTATGGATTCCACACTATGAAATCCATCGTTAACAAGTCTATTTCACGGGCACGAGCTGACCCTTCGGACCTCCCACCTTCTGGGAGCCTCCACCCCGTGACATCATCACGGCTACCTCCATTTCCAGCGGGCACCGCGGTTTTGCAAGTCTCCGCTTCAATCTCTGCCAACAGACGAAAAACTCTACTAATAGGAGATCCCGTTAACAACGACACACTCACCGCAGACACCTGAGGATCTCGTGCGGCCCACTTTTGCAAAGTCTCGGCCATCAGACTGCAACCAAACTCTTCAAACCGGACGTTGCTCTCTATCAACTTTCCGAACTCGTTGTTGAAGTTGATCGCATGCTCAAGGGCCTGCCGCTCAACCTGATCGACTGAGGAAAGTAATTTCTAAAGAGCTTTTTCCTGAAATCAAGGAGCTCCCTGCAGGCCAAGAGCGGAGTAGTACCACGCCACGACATGGTACGGTTCAATTAACTAATGATTATCAACATAATGCGTCAATCGATAACTCACATCTGGGATGGGGTTCTGGTTCATGGATAAGCGTAGCAGAGTGAAATTACTGTCGCAAGCCACGACGAGGGATCGACTAAGAATAAAACATCTCTGAGTTGGGCGACTCGTCCTTTGATATATCTATATCTGGCTCGAAAGATCTTCCGTTAGACTCTCATTTAATTCCCTATGTAACGACATTGCATAGCGAATCGGATGAGAACTCAAGCTAAGACTCGACGACATCTTGTGAGCGAGACTCACCCTCCGTCGGCGCCGATTGAGTTTGAAAAGAGCACGAGATCGACAAGAGACCCGCATGGCTGCCCGGGCTCTGCTTCAGCCAATGTTTTCGCAATAGCTGCAGCGCCTTCGTCGCCTGATCATTCATATCAGCCAGACTATCGAACACTAGCGAGGGGAGAGAAGCTATCTTAGCATTTCACCGGACCATCGGTAGACCCAGAGGAAGACCCTAATAGAATCATCCTACCGATATAGTTGTGAGGGATGTCCAATGTCTGTATGTGTGGCCAGTTGGGTAAAGCCTTGCCTAATGCTATCGCTCCTCTCTGTAGGATCTCACATCTAGAGAGTCTGAAACGCGATGATGATCGGTGGAACTCACCAATGGAGAAAGCTGCTGAGGACACAGCCCCCAGACTAACCTGAGGGTTCGCAGATTCGTGCAGTGCGCTAGCGCATCGCATATCAGTTCTCCTCCCTCTGGTCCGATTGAATTCCCAGATAGATCGAATGAGATCAATGGCATTGCTGCGAGTGGCTAACACAAAGGAGGAAATCTCGACAGACTCAGAGTCAGTATCCTATACGAATTTCGCTGATCTCAGTCCACGGCATTCACAGATAGTTGTATGGGAGTAATTATAAGTTTCGAATTGAAAGTCTCCTATCACTCTCCGAACAGTCCGTTGCTCACCTTGATGAAACTCGAGAGGCCTGCGAGGTCGTACGGACGAACACCAGAAGCAGAAGAGGTGGGCGATGCAAATGCGATCATATTATCAGATAAATCTATGTGCTCCAATGCAGAACGCGAATACGCACTCAAACATACTGCGAGTATAAGTATCTGCTCGGGGACGTATCACAATCGATCTACCATCTAACACGAGAAAGAGGCTTATGCTATGATAGTAAAACTATAACAGCATGAGCCTGTTTCTGATATCACCATCATAGTATCATCATCCTAGTGGCACTGTCACTATGGATATTCAATATCCAATCTCACATCTAGACTGCAGAGTTGCCTATCGTTCAATCTAAGACTGGTGATTCCCTGGAGTAGGGGGTGGAGCGGTATCTCTCCTCCACTGATACGAACCGTAGGATTATCGAGGAGGGTCACAAATTTCAGGAGATATCTGAAATCTCGAGGTTTCGATTACAAGTCAGCTGAGCGCGTGGGCCCACCTGCATGTAAAGGGCGACAATCGTGCGCCTCTGAGGTCCAACCCAACAGGTAGGTTCGTTTTCACTTCGGTCGATGAGGGATCCTGAAAGTTGAGAGCTCTTCCGATGGGTGGTATCGAATCGCGTTACTCCCACTGCGGTCGAGGTTGATATTCCTTCTCTAAGGGCACTCGGCAACTCCTCGAGCTGATCCTTCAGTAACCGTAGCTGCATGATTATGCTCGCATATGTGAACTCGCCTGAGTAGGACGATCTTATGCTATCAAAGATCCATGCACTTCCTTAGAGAAGCCTACTGTCCTGCGGTTTCTCTTCTGAGCCGTCATCGGCCAGACCGTGTGGGGTATTGGCTAAACTGAAGAGAGAGACATTTTCAACGTCTTCGTGATACAACGATTGTCGGCCCGACAATGTCGGGAAACTCCTTCGACAAGTTCGATTTGGTTGCCAACGCCCAACTTATAGTCAGGCTCGGAATAGCCACATGCAAGAACCAGAAGGCGTACGAGGTTACCGCTTCGCAGTTGGCTTTGAAAGCATCTTTTCAATGATATCGATGAGATCATCTGACACCACAGTCACAGGACGTAGGTCAGCCGGCCGCCATCGATTATGCTCCTCAGCGATCCATCTCCTATGGGACTCCGAAAGCCCTTGCAACCTAAAACCGGCACCAGCTGCCAGTTTAGCCGTGCCCAAGAATAATCGAACTACTCACTCAGCACTAGCATCAAATTGTCCCCTTATCGTTTGCGAGCAGTACTCCTGGTGACCCCACGGAAATGGCGCCCGACTGTCTGCCTTGACCGATGCGGGACTCTCCTCTGTCATTGATGCGCTAGAAGAAAGCATGTGTCGCTCTACTCCGACGAATGGCGGGAGTAGGCATACACACTCGAACCTGATGATTAACCAATAAGTATCTGCGACATAGAAATCGACCCCGAATCCCCGAGTGCTCACGCAATGCATCCCAGGCTGTACAAATCCCAGGCCCAAGTAGGCTCATTTTCTTGTTCACCAGCCATCTCGGTTCGCGAGATGTCCGGGCAAGTGTACCTCACCTGATAGAAAATATTATTAGTGTTGAACTATATGTTCGCTTTCCTCAACTAAGCTCAGGAGTTTCCTCACTAATTATACAAATTCGGGTAGAAGTATACAGAAAACAATGAGGATTTTTCGAAATTTCCTCAGAATTATCATATTGTCACCAACACATGTAGTTGACCATGCATCCATATTTTCCCACACTGAAAAATACTGCGTGAACTTCTTCCAATAGTCAGTCTTCCATTGACTCCAATAGCCCATTGACTCTCTTCAGGAGAGTCAGTGGAGCTCGTTCCTAGTGAGTCTCTTGAATCTCACATCTTTAGTCAGATGCATTATACCGACGTTGCCGATCGCGGCTGCAGTGGCCTTCTGCAATGCAGGGGATGGACGGCTAGGCAGGTACTCGAGAGCGTCCCACTTATATCCCAGCACCTGACTATTCCTATCAATGACAATCTTGTACTACAGCGTTCCAATTACTAATTGGAACAACGGATCAACTCATTCAACGAGTCTCATTAAGGAAACGGTCTCCTAGATAGTCTCTAGAAGAAACCTAGCATCAGTTTCAGGAGAGAAATTCAACTCACTCTGAAATTTTCATTGGAAGGAATGTGAATTCGTATCGGAGTCCGGAATGAATTCACACCAAGATGGATGTCTGAGCCCCAAGTCTTCCAGCCCGCATAATAAAAGAGAAACAAGTCGTCGAAGCAAGATTCAGCGAATGAATTCGCACATGAGAATTCTGTTTCATTCAAGCCCACCGACATCTTCTGTGCTCCATCTGGCATCCTTCCATCGTATAAGAACTATATCATCGAGCTTTCCGTTGCGCAGAAATATTGCCTCGGGATCCAACGCGCTATGAACGATGCGCCTTTTGGCCGTACCTGAAAGAGTGGCAATGTTCGGCGAGCGATCTCCTCCACAAATAACTGTAGAGGAGCTCTGCATGCTGATCGGAGGCCACAGCGGACAGGGAAAAACTGCAATAGACGATCGTGGTAAAGTGATAAGACCGTATGCAGCGTACAGACTTCTCGATCCTACCATCGACCGTTCCAATCGCATTCTCTACTTCCTCTAGTATTGACATGACAGATACCAGGAGGTCAATTGTCTGGACCTCAGTGAGCCCAAGCCGTATGGGCTCTCGATGCAGCACACTGACAGAACCATCAAGCATCATTTCAATCACAGCACAGATTCAGAACACTCCTTCAGCGTCGTGTATGAGTCATACAGTATGACGAACATCCAACGAAGCAGGGGGATATTTCGAGAAATGAAACGGCTTCTCGGTCTTATTCAGTGAGTCGACCTGGGCTGGAATGGGACTGAGTGCTCAGCCTCTAGCACTGCTCGCTTCTGGCTCAAATACTCCGCCAACGATATGCCATCGATGATCTCTCTCACCTGCAACGCACAAACGATCTCTACTCACAGGAGCATCAATCATTGAGTGTATGGAGCTCACCTCGTAGACGTATGATGCAGCAGACTCCCCAAAGTCGAACACTTTGATCAGGCTACCGTTCAGGCGAAGGCTCAACTGAGTTCCAACGGGAGATACTTATTTTCATCAAATCTGGTCTTGAAATACAGAGCATCAAGCTCCTATCAAGTCGATTATATCAGTAGAAGAATCCATACCTCTTTCAATAGAACTGCTTCTCTCTGCAAGCTCCTTCGAAGGTCATCAGAGCCTCCAGTGAGATAGGAGAACACATGTAGTGCCAAATCGTCGGCAATTGCATCCCCGTTTCCCCTAAAGATATCGGCCACTGGAACTTCGACTCAACGATACACGACTTGAGAGGTCGCCAGTTCCGCGCGAGTTCATCAACAATCACAACGGTGATAGCGGTTCCCCGCCGATGCCGCTATGATTCGATTCCCACCATATCCCTCACTCAATCACGTGTCGTAACTCGTCCACTGCACGAAAACAGAAGCCTATTTCGGACGTACCAACCGCCTCGCCATCGAGATCTGACTGACAACCGGATCACATCCAAGCTCAAAAATGAAATCGGACACCCACCTGAACTGAGAGTTTCGAGAATCCTATATCGACCGGCGAACAAGTCATTCTTTTCCAGTGCAGATTGGTCAGCGTTTCTACTCGATAAAGAAGCAGCAGTAATCGTGACTACTTGCGCGAGCTGATGGGTATCTCACCGTCCGTAGAGAGCTCCTGGAGTAACGGCAGCTGAGGCCATCAGCATTCTACAGATGCCTTTCAGAGATCCGAGGCGCCGAATGATTGTGCCTGTTGACAACGACGAGACTCTCGTCCCGGGGAGCTTCCGGGAGGGTGCGCATTAGTGATGCGGACTTGACGAGCTGATGACGATACTGTCAGCGGGCCCCAGGGAATCGCTGCATTTCACTCGGAGTGAATCACTCCACAGATTAGGTTAAATCGGGGAAGAATGTGCTCCCGTGCTTTCGGAAGCATCATGTCATTCAAGTGCATCGAATCCTTAAACACGAGTCTATAAAGAAGTTGCCCGTCTCCGCTAGGGAAGCTCACGGAGGGGTGTCTATAACAACTGTCCAGGTTGTCACATCCCCGAGCAATCCATGGTCTCGGCTAATATATACAACAAGGTCGATCGTGTTACCTATTCCGAGCGTTCTCTGGTGGAGTTCCTTGCTCGGAGAGCTGTTATTGATCAACTAAGGATAACAATATTGCTTAGCCAAAGAGAGGCGTGTACAGTGATGACTTTCTGTATATCCTCTCGTGTGATGTCGTGATCTGAATAAGTAGCATTCAAATCCTCACCACTTGGCCCGAACATTTCAAAATGATGGACACCATCTTCTTATGCTCACCCAAGAGCCTAGATAGTCCCGTCATCGCCTGTTGGGTGAACAAATCGAATTCCTCAACAGTCAGGTTCTTCATCACGGCCTCTTCCTGCGAATTTCCGGACCCTGAAAGTCTGATCATGTGATGACTCTCGCCACACCAACAACTTCAAGAAGCCTCTTAGAACCGGACTGCAGACCTTTCGCCTCAAACTTCCTTACTCATCTGGTGTTCCAGTGAATTCGACTCGAAAGCGAACGCTTTGACAATCTGGGCGGCCTGATGAGCATCCCTGATTGGGAGTAGGATGCACGTGAGCCCTATAAGCGGCATAAGCTCCGCCATGGGGCAAGCTGAGGACGCAGAAAGGACACTTCCGTATGGCTAAATCGTTCGAGTTCATCAACGTACTTCTATAATGGGGCGCTTCTTTCGTTGGCCGCATCTGAAGCAATAATTTACAAGATTGTCATAAGTGTAAAATCGAAGAATTTCTCTGGAATCAAGAGAGGCGTGTTCCGTAATAGGTAACGGTCTAACCAGTGATCGAATAGCTTGGGCTCAAGGGGAGCTCCCCTTCACTTGCGCCAATCATCAATGATCATAATCGACTATGAAATTCACAACTTGAATCGTCACGCGACCCAGACTGACACATATTTTCCACAATGAATCGACTAAGTGAGTCCCCGCTAGCCTCTCAGTGCCTTGACGGGACGGAATCGACTCGGACTCTGCCGATCTTGACGGCGAGACGGCACGCTCATGCTCTGACTCGGTATAGTCAGCGAATTCTGAAATAGTCGGCGCGAGATGAGGTTTTTTCCCAATCCAGAAGGCTCCGTCTTTCTCACTTTCCTGAGACTCTTCGTGGAGTTGTCCTCGCGGACGACGCAAGCAGGTATCGACGAGAGCCGTGAAGCTCTCGTAGCACATGAACAGTGGACGATCAGACCTCACCCACTCATCGATGAGAATCAGTCCGTATCTGCTCAGGATGTCGTACGACAACGAATGCGCGGCGGTTCACTCCGTCATGAAGGTCCTAGCCAAGCTCTGCCTTGGCTTCGTCAACGATTCGACGCCCTCTATCCAATCGAGATCGTTCACAGCTGTCATTATGACAGAAGAAATACTACAAGAGACTTGACAAGGAGATTCTGCGTATTGAGGTTGTCCCAACTTGAGGAGTTCGCTTTATTCATACAGTTCTCCCTAGTTCCTCATGTCTGACTCTACCAGATTCTGATTCAAGGTCTTGGTCATCGAACAAGCAAGACGGTGGTGCGTAAGAAAGCTTCCCTGAGTGCCTCCCAGAAAGCTCATGAGCATTATCCTGAACCCTTCCCGAACTCGACGTGACATGGTTGAGATCAAGCATGCCCTCTGAAGCGTATCTCATGAGACGGGGCTCGATCGGGCGCTTCGGGATTGCTGTGATCAGAAGTCTCCTCTTCATCGCTCCAACTCTGCTCCGATTCCGGATAGTCTCCGGACAGCCTATACGAGACCGGAGGGCGACATTCAACTTCATCACAGTTATCATAGATTATGATATCATATTCGAAGTGATCGTTGGTCGACAGAGGCGCGTTTCAAGCGTTACCATTCAATAGCGGAAATATAAACACCTTGGATGATTTAGATCAGCTTTGGGCGATAAGTTTTGAACAGCCTATACCATCTATCATCACGATCTCCCTCAGCACTAGTGCAGGGATACTGGCGATGTAGTAACTTGCGAGAATACGCCCCCGATCATTTCGACTGTTTTCTTCATTGCATGAGCTGCTACGTTTACCATACCCTATCAACAATTCTCATTGCTCCATAAATACGTGATATAGATTAACTAGAGCTTTCATCGAGAGCTTCAATCCGGCAATCTACCGTGATAACGATACGGGAGTCCCAAGAGGGTTTGTCTCGACGTTTTTACCCTTCTGGCGAACGAATCATTTCGATGAAAGCGTATCGGATTATAGGAGGATCACGCTAGGTGCGTATCGCCGTTCGCTGGACATTAGAAGCCCAACACTATTCAACGAGCCGAGCGCTCTCAGTGCAGTGTGACAAACCTGGGTTGACCTCTGGTGCTAGTCGCTTCTACTATTGTTTTATTATATCAATTGCACGCTAGAGTCCGAAAAAATCACCCGTCATCCTCCTCGCTACTATAGCTGCTTCCCGCCTCACTTCCAGTCTCGTGGGCTGACGAGGAGAACGATGAGCTCTCTTCTGGGTCTGAGAGACAGAGCTTTCTGTCGTAGATTCTCCCCGGATGTTGATGAAATTCATCCGTTCGAGCCACACCGTGCAGCATTGAGATCCCCCCCCCACGAAGAACGACCAATGATACTTGATACAACGAACCTCTTCTATCTTTCAGCTGGTCCATCCCATCGATTCCTCTACGTTTATTTTCATATCTGACATCAGGCCTCTCGACTTATTCTTCATCCACCAAGTAGACATACAGACATTATGTCTGTATGTCTAGACATAATGTCTGTATGTCTGTAATGTCCCACAATCTCTGGCACCACAGTATGTCTGAGACATAATAGCCCAGAGAACGCAGTATTCCCGCCTTTACTAGCGAGGTGATAGGTATGTCATGATGACTCACACGAGGAGCCGGTTGTGCTCTCGCTCCGGGTCATACATCTCCTGCTGGTATCTCAATGCGACACTAGGATCAGCACTCCTCTGCTGTTCATCTACCTACACCTTCTGATGTCAAATCACACCACCTCCGGAACTCATTCACGCTAGAGATTTCTCGTCCGCGTACCACCTTCGGCATGTCAGACTCGGTAAGTTCAACACACTGAACGCATCGTACGTTAACGACATACGACATTTTATTCACCTTTTCGGGTAACAGATTTTCTGTTTTCCTTAACTCAATCTGTTGTCTCAACTCTTCTTTATCATACGGCTTAGCCATGACCCGCGAGAACCATCTATCGAAAGTTTGCCGTTCGTCGTCGTTTGCCATGCTCGTGTTCAAGGCTGAAGTACTTATACCGCACTATTCGTGGAGATCATCGCACCGGTAGACATTAACCCAAAGTATTTCTCGATGTCTTCACTCATCAAGTTGAATCTTCTACTCCTTTTTGTTTCTGTATCTAGCCGAAAAGCCTTCATCTCAGTGTCAAGTCGTCTGGCGAGGCCGTAAACCTTTTGATGCCTAAAACGCTGATTGTGTTTGCGTATATTCATGATTCTGGATCTAGAGGTATACTTCCTCAAGCATTGGTCATCTCTCTTCGAATCTCCGCTCCTGCCAATCGCGAGTACTACCCAGAATGCTACCCAATACGACGTAGCTGCAATAAGACTTCTACCTGTCCGTATGTGGTCATGAATATGATCGTATCAATGAGTCCCTCTCACTTGAAACTATCGTTTTCAAGAACAGCCGACTATCTTGTTTTCTAGCCTCTATGAAACTTGATAGCAGTGAGATGACGCACAGACCTGTAGTCCCGCTGCGAGGCAGACTCGTGGCTTTCCGTGGCGCGTGAAGAAACTCACACAGGTTGATGTAGCGAAGTACCCGCAATATCGTGACAATCCGTCGTCTCTTACTGATACGGAAACGGATTATTTCCATTCGACTGGTTAGTCTGAGCAAAGCAAAGTGCCCGTCTTCCAGCCCTGGTCCCGCCTCGTGTTTTTCTAAGTGACTCAAGCTGAGCCTTACGACTCTGAAGTAGATTCAAATCTCATCATTGTGACTATCTCAATAACACCGACGTATGCACTGAAGTAAATGTGCAAACATTATGGAGAGACACTCTAGACAATAGACAAGCAATATGCTTGGCAGAAGTTCATAAGGGAGGGGAAGTGAGCAGCACCAGCATCTCACTCATCCTCGGCATTCTTTATCCAGAGCAGTATGACTTCTTCTCGTGGGTCTCCAAATATCATCCGTCTGGGATCGTGGCGCTGACGCGTGAAAATGGCGATGATTTCGAGAGAGGCAACACCTTCCATGTGTCCACAGTTCTGTGCAGACCGTTAACAATATAATATATCTCGGGTTGTCTCTTGTAAACTTCATGCCTGAGAATTCTCTCTTCCACCGCTGTATACGGCATGTCTCTGAACGGCTTACTGCACAACCCTCGCCTGGCCACTCTCGTTCATCGCTGTATGTCTATAAACCATCCGTTGCCTATCAGGTTCTAGTTTAGCAAGGTCGATGTATGCATCACGTGAACCAGAATATTTTTTCGGGAGATGCAGTTTCGGTATCTACTCCAGCCTTTCTCGACACACTCTCGAGATAATGTTCTCGCCTCGTTTTTGTGAATGTGATTTTTGACATGATATGGCGACTTGAACCAGCGGTATCTACAGTCGATTCCCACTTATTCAGGAGTGAAGTAGAAGAAGCACTTGAGTGACTTCCATATGATCGCTCTGTGTTCATGAGAAATGTGAATTCTCTGCTGTCTTGACACAGTGTTGATGATTTCCTCTACTTCTCTGCTAGTCTGTCGCTGAGTCGCTTCGATCAGGTCGAAACCTATCACACTTCCCCTCCTCCGAACCCTCGCAGAATGAGCTCTTCAAAGGCCTTCACGGCATCTCACCAGCATCACGGAAATATGGGAAGTATTTCTCCAAACCGATTCTCGACAAGATAGTTCGCATGCTCACCTAGCAATAAGCGGCTGAGCTCGCGACAGAGTGAGACCGCTCCTCTAGATTTACCTGAGGGCTGCCCCTCCTGAGCGCTTCCTCCACTGCCCTAGATCGGCTATCTCTTGCTATGTGTCCACGGAATGTGGTGAAGTTATCATTGAAGTCCTCACCCACGCCTCGACGCTTGGAATCCACAAGCGCTCGACGCCTAGATGGATGTGAAATGTCCTTTTCCATGAAATAAGCTAGGATGCAAACAAATATGCCCCTTGGTAGCAGCCGTGTCGATAATTGAATCGTTGCGATTTCTCTAATGTCACGTGCATCCTTTATGATGTTGACAACAATACATTCATTAGGATTCTTGTGTGACACAAGCACCGACGCAGCAACCACAAGCATCCAGTAGCCATAGGTGAGGAAACACATACTCTTCTCGGAGCTTACGCTAGCTTCGTCTCAATGATATTCCTAGTCTTGGCTGTGAGTGCGCAAAAACCGGAAAAGTGATCAGAACCGTTCCCCTGGCAAACGGTCTATTTCGCTTTCTTCAGAAATATGACATTAACCGTATATGCCTTCAGCGTATCACTCAAAAGAACAGCGGGGATGGACATTTGCAGCCCCCCTTCGAGGGGCTGCAAATGGCAGCAACTTCCGCATAATTCTACTGCATTCTCAAGAATACTGCGACGTGAATTGGTGCGATTTGATCACACCTCGATAAATTAACTAATACAAACTGACTCGAATTCCCATTAAGGGTTCAATGACAGACACCTCATGGCAGCAGCAGCAGCAGCACATGTCATTGACTGAGCGCTTGAGCTTCCTTCTGATGGAGACAATACAGCGCCTACACAGTCACAGTCGGCTGCTCAGTCCCACACTCCGAACGTCACCGATTCATCAGCTTCAGCTCGTGTCTTGAAATCCCTGTATGTGGCCTTCAGTCCCTCCTTTAAAGTTATCCTAGCCTCCCATCCGTTCAAGTGCTTTTGAGCTCGCGTGATATCCGGTTGTCGCCTGAGAAATGAACAAACATCCGAGACTTTACACTAAGGCTCACCTTCTTGGGTCATCTTGAGGTAGGGTTCGATACTCTATCTCCAACTCATGTTTATCCGCGGTAGTAGCCGCTAGTTCTCTGACCATGTTAGCCAGCTCACCCACGGTGAACTCACTCTGATTACCCAGATTCACAGGCCCAATCGTTGTCTCGCCTGACTCTCGAAGTGGGAGTAACAAAACGGTCGAGGTCCCTACATTCCATTAGTCGGTATAACCCCAGGACGAGATCGGACACGAAACAGAAGCTCCTTGTTTGAGTGCCGTCACCATAGACAGTTATCTTGTCACCACGGAGTGCTTGTACGAGGAAATTAGACACAACTCGACCGTCCTAGGTGACAAACACTGTCACGACTACTGCATGACACGCCCTACGTGGAACATCATTCTCGGGCCGTAGGTGTTGAAGATCCGTGCGATACGGACATCAACACCATGCTGTCGATGGTAGTCCATACACAGTGCCTCTGCTGCTCTCTTGCCTACTAAAAGTCTCTCTCGATCATTCTAGCATGGCGAGTAATTTAGGATAGGTTGTTCGCCAATAGCAGAGGCATAAGCCCCACTGGTCGAGCTTGGGTCGTCACCTTCATCGTAACAGCTCCTTGTCCCGATGCAGTTCACGTTGCCAAAATAAGTCTCCTTCTGAGGGTGCTCCTCGGGATCGCCATACACCTGTAACACCTCCCAGCCATTGATCAACCATTCATCGTCTCTCGACCATCACCTCGCTGGTGCTTGCTAAAAGCAGACGTGCCCCTGTCCTCTTGGCGATACCACACATATTCAGCGTGCCGATAACCTGACAAGTCGATAACAGCAGTTAACAGCATCGCTCCGCCAGTCTAATCAGCGACATCACCGCATCGATAGGAGATCGATTGAGCACTCACGTTAGTCTTCAGCGTCTTGATGGCATTGTGTTGATAATGGACAGGAGAAGCCGGGCACGCCAAATGGTAGATCTGGTCGACCTCTAGGAGTATCTGTCATACCAGCCGTTCCTCTCAGCAACGGAGTGACAGTCGACTTACCTCTTGGGTGACGTCGTGCCTGATGAGCTCGAACCTTGGGTTGGATAACCATCGAGCGATGTTAGCCTGCGCCGTCGATTCAGAACAATGCTCTCACGATAGTTGTGAAGTGTTGTCGGGATGTTGTTCACCTTGTCTCCACAAAAGAAGTTGTCCATGCATATCACTTCGTGGCCAAGTTGCATCAAGAAGTCGACCATATGAGATCCGATGAACCCACCTCCCCCCGTCACAAGAATGCGCTTCTGAGACTCACTTTCACTCGAGAACAGTGGGAGGCACAGTTACGCACCTTGACAGATTTAATATCATTCGGGGGTATCGCGATGATCTCCTTAGGGATGAAACCATCAGAGGCAGCCATTTCAAGGTCGAGTGGGTCGAATCACACAAGTGCTCGGAGCTCTTCAGCTCATTGACGAACACAACACTGCACTGTGGTGAAATTATAACTTCTGTGCAACCAAATGTAGCAAACCTGGACGATTCTAAATTGACACCGTAACAATTCAATGAGCTATCAAATGCTGCATTTAAGCAGTATCTCCCTCCTTAGGCACGGCAGGCACCTCGACGCCAACCAGATCACAAAGGTCTTCGTAAAACAGTGCCGTAGACTTGAGGACATCGTTGATAGCATCTTCAAGCTCTGCAACGTCTTCTTTACCTTCAATCTCGCAGATCATTCGCCACGCCTTCATCGACGCCTCCTCGAATTTGGCCTCTTCATCGGGCGTGTCCGAGAAGTCAATAGCCCGCAAATACTCGCTCTGCCAGTACGGTATCTAACACAATGTGAATCCACGCATCAAAATAAGCTCATCAGAACATCTCTACGGTTCTCTCGTAGAACAATTATATGCGCTTCAACTAGCTTTGAATAACACACCGCACATCAGTTCTCTATGTATGCCTCATAATATCCATACCGCACGATCCTAGGTTCGCATCAAGGCTCGTCGATGTGAATCGCGCCATCTCACCATCGCTAGGAGCCGAATGCTCCTCAACCGAACTGTCTCCGCCTTTTTAGTGCTTTTCCCTCGATGCTTTTTGCTCAATTCGAGTTGCTCCCGAATGAGTTCCAAACGATCCTTCAGAAGCTGCCTAAGACGAATTCCAAGTGACTTGCAATAACTCCGGCGTCGGATAGTTTATCTAAACAACCTTCCGATGTAGTCTAGCTGGTTAGGATTCGTGGCTCTCACCCACGCGACCGGGGTTCGAGTCCCCGCATCGGAAACTTTTAAATTCTTTGAGGAATTTAGGAGGAGTCAACCGAATTCATTTGGTCGGAAAACCAATCATCATTTTACTACTCTACCATTGATGAGAAAGTCTCAATACCTACCCACCGGCCTCACCGAGGTTCGTGTTGTACACAGTAGGGCTTCCCACCAAATGATACCCAACCGCCCCCTTCCTTCACGGAGGCTCCTCTATCACACATGACCATCGATGTCTGACTCGTATCGAGGGGCTTCGACAACCCCGGGACAACCTTCAAATGAGAACACTTCACGCCCGCCACAGACGACACACTGTGAACAGAAAGCAGCCGCCACTGTGCGACGATCAGCATGAGGGCACAAACACTTCACCATAGAACATAGCCAAGACAAAGGGTTCCGAGAGAGTTCATAAACGCACAGGACAACCATGCGACATTTTGTTAATGTTACTAACACTACAGCAGCGAATATGAGAGAAATAAATTCCCTGTGCGCTAAGATACACATGAAATGGGGTTCTGAGGAGAGGAACTTCGTAGTAATAGAGCTCAATAGGAACGATGGCAACAGTAGTTGAGAACGACCCGACGGGGCATCCTGCATTATACCATCATCATCGTATCCCAGAAGACAACCAATAATACACATCAGCACACTGCCTTATACATCTAGCAGTGTGTGTTACTTTTATCTACAACATCATTATATGAGCCTTTCTCAAAGTCACCATCATATAGCCTGGATGCACTCACGGCCTTGCTCATGCCATATCGTCAGCAGCAAGCCTGTTCATAAAGATGCTCAACTGCTCCTTCACTCTGTTAATCTGATACTGCAACGTCAATCGCGCCAGCGTCATAATCTCATCATCAGCATCCTCCTCTTCAACTGCCGGCGCCTCGTACCCCACAGGTACGAATTCAGGCGCGTTAGGATTCAACGCGGGCTCTTTATTGTCTCTTTCGGAAGTGTTCGGTGAGAATTCAGGAGCATCACCATTGAAAGCTTCTGATTGATATCCAAAGTCACGGCTCGGCAACGAGATAGCATCTCCAGACCAACACGAGCTCTTCTCTGAATCATATGACGTCGTCGGCGTCATGAGCGCTCCCAAAGCAACCGTTGACTCTGCCATACAATAAGGTGACGGGGGCTCCGGCAACAACGTGGAGCGATTAGGATCGGGTAGCAAATCAAGGATAGGATTTTCGTTATAATAGTCGGCAAGATCCTCGAGCGAACCGAACTCTCTCTGAACGTTGCTCGCAGTGTCTTCGAAATTTTCAGGTTGATGGTGGAAGTAAGTGTCGAGGCCTGACATACCTCAACTAGGGTGAATGAGAGAATAAATGGAACAACTGAGGCTACTGTCTCCGATCGCCTACTATAACGTTAGCCTACAACAACGCATCCCTAAGGATCGACCCCTCATGAAACACTCAACACAATTCTCCTACCATGTAGCATCCAGGAGAGATAGATGAACACTCCTCTCTATTAGAGCCAACCTGACCGTTGATGTGCAGGCGACCGTTATGGCTACACACAAGGCTGACAGTAGCTCATGTCGAATCTGCGTCAGGGGGAATTCCAAAAATTCCGGTACTGAAAACTCCATCGTGAGGCCACAGAGTAAACGTAATAATATTCACAACAGTGCGGATTGAATTTTTCAACACCGCATTGAAAGAGTCGATAATATCTTTACGGCCCCGGCAACCTCGTCGAAGACTTCTTTGCCGTCAATGACGATGTAGGCCAAAAAACCGCACCAAGTGGGAATCTCTAAAAAGAAAAGTCCCGTCAACAAGAGGTACGAATAGAATCACAAAAATCAGAGGCCGTGAGACGGAGCGAAATTCAACGGCAAGAAGTCGTTCGAATGACCAGTTGAATAAATCGCAGAATAATGTCGGGTGCCGGGATCGAACCCGAACCAGAGTAGTGCTTCCATGAGACTTCCATTGAGCCGTACTGAGAGAAGGATAGAGGTGCTTGATGATACTGCCCTACCGAGCCGCATATGATAACACCTCCATCGTGCTAAGAGAAATGAAGAGAAGCAGTAAAAATAACAAGGCAACAATTCTCAGCTTGGTGATCGCATACACTACTAAGAATCATCATCGATTCAGACTAAACACCAACTGATCATCCAGAGAACACCAAAAATACTTCTCATGCCCTCCACCAACTCCAAGCGGAAAATAGCAGAAACACGATATTAGAAACACCACATGGGAGGAGACCACCACTCAATACAGCGTGATAAGCAAACGTCGAGCCTGGAAGCCATTCCCTTGAGAAAGCATATAGAAATACCTGAGAGCAACTAAACAGTCAATGACACCACTGAGGTGGCTTACTCGAGTTTGTCTCTGGGGAAGTTGAACAAGATGTTCATCAGCCGATAATAGCCGACATAATTCGCAAATTCGTGCTTGCTAAAGTTGCGCACTGTTTTAATCTGAACATAATTCTAAACCATTACTGATACCACACTTCCCTCACTTCATCGTCCCTCACCCCACACAACTCTGGTCGATAGTCTCTACCAGCAAGAACCTCACCAACATCAAAGCCAACAACAAACCCACCTCCGATTTCTAAACCGCCATGATGTCCCATACAGTTTAACACCACGTTTATACCTGACAACGAAACGATTCCAACCCGACAAAACCCGAGACCTCTCACTCTTCCCCGTCCCACTTCGAGAACAGCCTAGACATCGTAAGATGGTAAGCCGGAATGTAACCGTTGTATATCGTGTTATCATACCTAAATCCTCGTCGACAAATTTCTGCCATAAAAGCTACCTCATAGACACATAGTGCGACACAGGGAAAGCCTCACACCACTCGTCACATACGATGAGGAGTGGGAACTTTGTCTGTACCTAGCACAGAGCATTTATATATACAACCGCATCTTCTGCCTCTACGTAGAGTAATTTCTCATCATCCCATCTAGCAAAGGGCCCTCCCTACTTTCAACTGCTCGAAAAGCTCATATACAGCCTGACAAGCATAAGCCTGGTTGTCCAACGCAAAGTCCACTATTTCCCACAAGGTCTTCGGCTCCGGCAAAGGGGTCGTCATTGACGGTATCTACCTCCCTCTCATCACAACATATTCACCACCAGTGATAGCCATGCTCTTCCCTTACTAATGTTCTAATGCAGAACTTGATACACGAATTCGAGTATGAAAAGTCCCAACACCAACACATGTAGTTGATGGTTTACAACCCCACCTTACCTTCACATCCCTACGATAGTGGGCCATCCTCTCGAGCTTGTACCTACACACAGTCCTCAATAGCAACGACATGACCAACACGCTTACTCTATCTGCTCGGTGGTGAGCTGTTCCAAATCGATACCATCTCCGAACTTAATCACGAGCTCCTTATGAACCGCCTTCTCAATCAACGGAGAATACAACCGCCTCGTGAAGTTCAAATCATTGCCATCCAACGCCCTACTCAAAATATTCAAAAATCGCTTCGCTCCGCCCTTCCCACCTTCTCCCATACACCTTCATATCCACCGGCATTTGCTCGAAGAATTCTCTATTGCGAATTGACGTTCTTTCCAAAAACTGCTGACTAAACTCATTTTGAATATACAACCCCGCATTGCTCCGCTTGATCTCGGCAATTTCCTGACCTCATCCGTATCTTCCCCAAAACGCCCTCGATGAACCTTACCCTATTGTACCGAGACAGGAGCGGCTCGTAGATCACCAACCACCCATTAAGGCGCGCCCAACACACGATGTAGTTCAACACCCCCGATTTCCCAGAACCTACAGTGGAGCTTCGCCCTAGTGATATGAAAACTGCATATCACCGCGAATATCGCGTTTTCACCGAGTTTTACGCACCACTTCGCGTAAAACGGGTGAAACTTTAGTGTGAACGAGACCGCTATGCAAAGTTATATCTTAAACATCTTCAATTTTTGAGAGTTCGGAAGTCAAATTTGAGTAACATCAAGTTGATAACGATGTGAATCGATTGACTCGTCATATAAGCGTGCTGCGCCTATATTCGGACTCCCGAACTGAAGGAAGCCATCTCGAAAATCTAGACGTGCGTAACTGTTTAGTTCGCACCGTATAAAACGACCACTTCAAAGACGATACCAAAACACCCACCTCTCTTCCCATCCAATAACCATCCCCTTGAACTCTGGAAGGCCTCCTTATCCCTCAGGCACCGCAGCTGCTGCATCAACTCTAATGTGACCTTCCGTAGCATTATTCCGAGGTCCCTAAATACACTCAGGAATATATGTTCACTTTCCTCAGCGGTTTCCAATATTCTCCCCACAAATTTCATACAAATTCGTGTAGAAATGTACAAAAGCAAACGAGAATTTCCCGAAATTTCTCATAATTTTCATTTTCCCATCCTCCTCACCGCTGTCTGCTTTTTATCAGCATGATATCGCGAGGCAACTCCCCACCCTAAGAGGCCACACTAACCACAGAATTGTCGGACATGTAACCCACCATTCCCTCCGGAAGCAGCTCCATAAGTTCATCTCGAGGAAGCCGCAGGAAACGCCCCACATCAGACGCCTTGGGAAAATACTCCTCCCCTAAAACGAAAAATTCAAAAAACGCTTCGCTCCGCTGCTCCTACCTCCACCACCCTTTCTAGGCAACCACAGGTCCGGTCGCTTAACCGGCTCCTCTAGGGGCATGTTGGTGATGTCCGGGGTAATCATATGGGACGGATATCTACCACAAACACCATAGAGGTAGTAAGAACAAGCTCTGAGCCTACAACTCTACAACGGCATCTCTCTGTTGCCTGAACTGCTGCTGGCCATACGATGACGACGACGACTCGACTCCCTATAAACACCCCACCTCATGAAAAAAGACCCTTCCGAAACCCATAAAGCGAATCGGTTTTACACTCCATCAGTAACCAACACACTTTCCTTATCTGTATTCCCGCTTACCATACACCTATACGATTTATTCCTAGTTCTATATTCCTCCTCCATCACAATGTCAAGCGGAGATGAGCAACTCATTTCGGGCGCCTTCCCACATCCTCCTACCGTAGTTCGGCCCTTCCCCCCCTGTCCAGATGGCCCTTGGTCCTCACCCTCTCTAGGGAGGGGTATCCCAAAGACCTTACCCGTGTCCCATGCTCGGAACCCTGCAGCTCCCCGAGCCATCACCGGCACAGACCTGCTCTTCTTACCGACTCCAACGGCCAACATCCGAACCCAAACACTACCAAATCACACGACTACCCCTTCCCCCCACGTCCCGACAACTCCAACCACCCCCACCGCGAGAAACGACGACAATCACGAGGAAGGAAAACAACAACTATAGGAACGGCCACTCCTAAGCTCTTGAGCCCAAAGCTTTGCTCATCTCAGACACCCAACCATACACGCCGAAAAATATAATACCCCCGGAGGACACTTGAATCACTCGAGGCAGCATGCCCCTGGTCAACGCCCCAGGCCCCTCGGTCTTCACAATCCTCATCCTGATAGAAACAACATTAACCTCCCACCGCACGGCCCTCTATTACATGGTTTTCAGGAAGGTAGCCCCACCAGCCTCAGCGCCCTTCACACTCAACATGCTCCTAGTCTTGACCACATCGAGCGGTGTAGTAATAGCAGCCGCAATGCCCCCCGCGATGGCCCCACATATCGCACCTACCATAGACCCTACCACCACTAGGAGCCCCTCATCCTAGTACCTCCAAACGGTGTGACCTCCTCCCTTCCCTGGAGCTTGGCTGCATACACCTTCAATTCTTCCCATATGGGGAACTCTATGAATCCAAAGGGGATTTCCCTCGCCAGTGTAGCCCCATAACCGGTAAAGAAGCCCCGGAGGCCGAAATTGCGATAAACGTGCGAAATCACCTACACACAACCAACTATTATATTCACCCGTTTTACGTGAAGTGGCGTAATACTCTGTGGAAAGCCCGATACTCGCGCTATGCAGTAGTCGTGAAATATATTTTTCACTAGTGTTTTTCATATCACTAGGGTGAAACTCCAATTTCGTAATATAGTTTCCTATAATACATACCACAACCCCTCCAACTCCCTCCCCCCACCTCCCTGTACGTCCCAAACTGCCCGGCCTGTCGATTCTGTTTGAGTATATCAGTAGGAACTCTCGCCGCACAGGCCACACACTCAGCCATAGCAGCCGAACAGCCATGCAGGAGGAAAGAGCCTTCCTTAACAGGCAAACGAGCCCTACCAAGCACACCTCTACCCTACCACATACCACACCTCGCTCACTTCGCCTGCTCATATGTAAGGAAGAACAACGCTGCCGCCGGTGCCGACCCCAAAGCCGCCGCCCCAAGGCCACTATAAACTCCTCGGAACTACAACAAAACCTCTAAGCCCTACCAATAGGGCATCCCATTCTCACCCCTCCGGTGGCCCAAAAACCTTGCCTGGACTGAATTCGCGTTTTGATGGTATCAACCGGGTAGAGGCCTATGTCTACAGCAAGACCAGCGCTCGCTCCCGAGACCAAGGAGCTTGCCCACGAGGGTTTCTGCTGCCTCTCAACGTGTGGTTGTGAACTACTAGTGCTGGACATTCTGATAAAACTGCCGCCCAACACTACGAAGAGGAGGGCCCAAACTCAAGATTAGTCGCCCACAGAACAGTAAATCCAATAATACGAAATTATACAACTTATTCAGTAATATTGATACAGTGCTCACCCAAAACGGCTAACACTACTAGCTTCGCTCCGCCGGCGACATGACGAACCGCCTCCTCCCGAACCAGGGTCGCTCAGCAGCAGGCTGTGACCATACCCAGCCGAGCAGGCCCCCATTCTAACGGCTCCGATACTACCAATAACCGACGGCACGTACTGACAGGACCGCTGGGATCTCCTCGGGGGAGCCGCGGCCAGCCACGACCCATGGACGGTTGGTGGTGGGTTAAGTCGGCCTAACTGACCATAACAATCAGAACCCCAGGAGTACACTTGCCCTTGAGAGTCTATCGCCAAGGCGTGAGCAAAGCCACATGACAGAGCCTTGAACCGCTTGCCCGGGGGGAAATTGGTGACCTTTCGAGGGCAGGTCAGCTCCAGCGGAGCCCCAGGGGGCAATGCCAGCTGCCCGCTCTCGTTGCTACCCCAAGCCCACACGTCCCCTAACGTCGTCAAACACGCCGTGAATGCCCCACCACACGCCACACTGCCGACCACCCCGTCCTTCTCAGTGCCCACCTCCACTACTTCAGGAGTGGGGCATCGGCAGCTATTGCCCCCCTCGCCTGGGGGGAAGGTCTCAGCCGAGAATCCCAGGCCCAACTGACCGAACTCCCCCCAGCCCCAGCAGTACAGTTGCCCACCTATAGTCACTGCTGCTGTATGGGCCTCCCCACACGCCACCGAGGCAAATCTACTGCGCGAAACCCCACTGGTGAGCATCATCGGTCTGGTCACTATCGAGTCGTTCTGGACATCATAATGAGCTTCAACCTTCTCAATACCCAGCTGACCCCCCTCCCCTCTCCCCCAGGCCCAAAGGCGGCCCTCACCATCAATAGCAACAGCATGATACGAGCCGCAACCCACAGTCGTAGCCCTGCACCCTCCTCCTAGGGAGACCTCCACCACCCCCTCCCCTCGACCGACCCTGCTAGAGGTCGGAGAGGCCGTCAAGTCCCCCACCTGCCAAAGGCGACCATCCTCCGACAGAGCCACCACAGCAGAGGCAGCACAGGAGACCGCCTCGATAACAACCCCATGAGGAAGGCGTGGCAAGCGAACCTCAGGGAAGCCAGACCCCCACACGTAGAGCCTCCCCTCATCACAGACTGCTGCCGACACGCCATCTCCAGCCGATACCACCATCAGCCTCCTGCCCTTCATCGACATCAACCTTACCGGTCTGGGCATCCAACCTACCCCCTCATACCGCACTCCCAGCTGATTCCGATCGTCACTACCAAAAGCGAAGCAGGTCCCTCTGGTGACCTCTTGCGTGTCCGACAACACGGGCGCGGTCGCTACCTTATCCCGACCCTCCAGGGCCACAGCCGACCCCTGCTGGAAAGCCACCATTACACACGGCTTGGACAGGTCCATGGCCCAAGGGAGCCTTTCAACGTCAACACCCTCCATACTAGAAGCTAATACCTCATCCACCTCCTCGTCCCCAAGGACCGGCCCCGTGAGCCCTTCAGCACTCTCAGCTCTCTCTAGGGGTCCACTTTCCAGCCGAGGCGGAGCGAAGCTCATACCCTCTTTTGCATCCTCCCCACAGGCCCTAAAGATATCCCCATACTTCTCCACCTTCAGCACCGCCCCCTTCGCATAAGCGTACAGGCCCAACCGCCATGCTAGCCAAGCCACTATTCTCTCTCCCTTCCCCAGCCGATACCTGGGATCCCCATACCCTCCAGGGCCCACCAACATCGCCAGCGCTTGTAGGAGCAACATTGCCGACAACTCCGGGGAACTATTACTCGCCGCGGCGATCCCTTTAACACACCATAGGCCTGCTATCAGCTCAGGGTCGGTCGGACGGAGCGCCAAGACCGACCTAGATAGGGTAGGAAAACACGCAAGCACCCCCGCACTCCTCTTCTCCCTCGCTGCCGACCACGCCCCTTGGACCAACAGTCGTTCCCTATAAGAGGCACTACGACTCTTTGGCAACCTCGTAGATGACGGCAGGCAACAGGCCAACACTAGCCCTTCCAAAGGCACTCCTGATAGCTGCTTCTGGATCCATCTCACCCCGAGGGCCTCATGGACCTTCACAGCAGCCCTAGCGGGCTCCCTCAGCCCCTTGGGTGGCCGATGCCTCACAGTATAGACCTTGGATGGCCTCAGCATCGCCTCGAGTTCGATCATGCGAGCCCCCTCTGGCTCCAGTACGGCCCCCTCAACCGCTTGCCAAATTCCAGGCCGGCGACCCCTCCGTCTCAACAGAGTCTTCTCCACAGTAGCCTCAGGGAGGGCCATCCTCAACTCCCACGACATGGCCCGTAGCAGCTCTGGTGGGTCCAACAGGGCCAAGCCCACCACTACGACGGGCGGAGGTGCCTCCCGAACCCCTATAGACAACATCACAGCTAACATCACATACAGAGAGGCAGCGATAGCCGCCGGATCGTCACTCGGTGAAAAGCGTCCATCCAAGGCGGTGTTGAAGAGCACACAGAATAGGGCCTCCCCATAGGAAACTCCACCCGCCGAGCCACCAGCCTTTCCAGGCAATATATTCCCATACCGTCTCGCGGTGTACTTACACGCCCGACCTACCATAAACACGCACCACGGCACCAACCTCTCCTGCATGAAGTTCACTTCCAACACCCCCTGCTCCTCCCGACACCTCCTCAGCTCCTCCGCCACTATCACCGCTATTGCCCCCAAGGGCAGACCCATCTCCCTCAACGCTGCCTTACATACCACCATAGTCGACCCCCCACGCACCCTCTGCCTCCTCAGTGCCTCCCTCGCTTTCAAACCCACTTGATGTGGAAGAATACCTCTGGGATAACCTACCTTCAGAGCATAGGGGAAGCGAGCCATCTCGAAGGCTTCCTCAACACTGGGTCGGGCGATGCCCTCCACCGTCACCGACCCCACAGTAACCCGATCCTCAGCCGAGACCCCAGCCCAGGTCCAGTCGACCTTCTGCCCCTCATTCAGCACACATGCCTCATGACACGTATCCTCACTTCTGAATACCAACACCCTTTGAAGCTCCTCTTCTTCCCCCTTGCCTCGGCTCATCCTCAACGGCCCTACCTCCTCCCCTACACCCACCAACGCACTGCCCCAAACCAGCCATCCCGGCTCCACCTCCACTAAACAGACAAGCCTATTCTCCTCTGCCCTCAACGCCTCCTTCGCCACTCTGTGCTCCCAACAGTCCGCCCTAATCCTCCTACAGTACACCCCAGCGCCCACCGCCGCACCATCCCTCCTGAACTCCTCAGTGCCCCCGATAGCCCCTACTATATTCAAAAACGCCTCACTGAGCACGGCCAGCTTCCTCATCAGCCGTACAGCATCATCGGCTTTGTTGGAGCCACGAAAAAGGAGCTCAAAGGGGAAGTAGTGGGCATCGTTCGCTAGCTCTGTCACCAACAAGGCAGACGCGACTGTCTCCATCTTCCCAACCTCCAACGTCTCTACTCCTCCCATCAACTTCACCACCCTCCCACTCACATGAGACCACATGCCATTCCAGTCTATGGGCTCCAGGTCCCTCAAGCCCTCCACCTCCCCCTTGGCCAACTCCCCCACAATCCCCCACGCCTCCCCATCAGCAGCCCCGAACCGTCGTTGATAGAGATACCCCACCAGGTCCACCACCACAACCCCATCGCCATTAGAGCTCATAGGCGTACTAGTCTCCAAAGCCTCCTGCTGCTGCAGCTGCTCACCCCTAGGGGCCACCTTCGAACCAGGAGCCCCCACAGACGGATGGGTGCCGGGCGGTGCAGCAGAGGCGGTGCTTTTACAAAAGGACGCACCACAACCCATTAGTGACAAATCTGCAGGAGGAAGTCGCTCTACCGTCACGCGCCACGAAATTCAACAGCAGAACCATCATTACAGAAACCACATCTAATTAGCTGCCTTGTGAGCCTTTCATTCCCATTCAACGAGTGGGGAGCGCAACCCCAGAGAGACTAACTACAACCCAACACGCATACCCATCCCTCTCTCCATACCACACCCTCGCCCAATCCTACCTCCAATCCACAACTCACTCTCAGAGGCGCCAGTACCTCTACGCCGATAGTATCTACCATACCATATCAGCGCGAACGTCAATACGATTACATCTTACCCTCCAGCTGCAGGTTCAACCTGCTCCCCCAACATTGACAATCCTCATTAGAGCTAATCCCCGACACCCTCTGCAGTGAACACCACGCTGTTGCCCTGTGGCCCCCTATCATCACAACTAGCTTCCAAAGGGATATCCAACCTCCCACACGTGGGGTTGCCCAACGACAAATTCCGATTCCACCCCTCCCTACTACTTCAACGACATCAGCCACCAAGTTCAACCCACACAAGCACCTCCTGGAACCACAGGCCTCTAACACGATAACACCTCCCCATTGACCACCACCAAATCACTTACCATAAGTCTACACGGCTGCAATATTCGCGCTGTAGAAGCTCCACGCACCCGCGTAGCCGAACGGTGACGCTGGGGAGTTGCTTCCTTCTACCTCGTCACCATCGAACGATCTCCTGCCTACATCCAGTTACCGCCAACTCAGATCCAACTCGGCCGAGAAAAATGAATATTTTAAGGCTCAACAGAATCGCAATCGGCTATACCATCACACAGCGAAGTAAATGATGAAAGTTGTATAGGAAGAGGCAACCCAGACAGACAGCAATGGTACACAGCAATAACCCTCCCTCGTCCCGCTATCCCTCAACTTCCCCAAAAAATTCCCACAAGTCCATTTCACATCGCTTGATCGTCCGTTGTCTATTCCTTCGTAGTGCCCTCACACACCTCTCCATGCTCACCCTATGCGTCGGGTTATACACCCAACACCGGTCCGTCATACGCTTCAGCAGAGGGCACATCTTGGCGTTCATACAGCCGTTACCAATGTACCGCCCAGGGTGGAGACCGCACATTCCTACCGCTGCTACCATCTCACTGTGAGAGCACATCCTCCACGGTATCTACTATGCAAAATTCATTATCCTTATCGAGAAAAAATGTAAAAAAACGGAAAAAATTGTAAGAACACCGTTCAAATTGCATGGAAAACAGCGCGAAAAATTGTACAAGAACTGCACAAAAAAACGGAAAAGAGTTAAAAATTAGGGAAAACCGTTTAAATTGAACGAAAAACAGCCAAAAATGGGGAAAATGGCTAAAATTGAACGAAAAAAAGTGATTTTTTTGGGGAAAAAATAAGACGTGTACTCCACAGCGCTTCCTCACCTCCCTGTTCACCATCTCCCACACAATACACGCCCAAGACCACACATCGCTAGGCGTGCTGATATCATCATCACGAAGGCTCTCCGGACTAGCCCAGCCAAAGGTACACATTCTTCGTTGGTACCTACTGCCACAGCTCCCTCACCAACTGCCCCCAGGGGCCTTACCTCGGCACTATCCTATTCGCCGAATGCCCGAAGTCGCACAACTTAGCCGTAGGAGGAGTAGTCCTCAAATCCACCAACACATTCGGACTTTTCACATCACCATGAACGAGGGAGTGCCGATGCATATACGCCAACCCACACGCGATGTCCAGGGCAAACCCATGCACCGCCTTCGAATCCAATACCACACTGTCAGTGCTCGTGGGTCCATAGATAACCGCTGGAAGGGAACTTTCCAACAGCTGCGTTGCTAGGAACCTCCCAGAATAGGTCTCTGTGTCGGGATCAGCCGCTATCCCAGCCAACGACACCACATTCCTATGCCCACACACAGCGTGAAGGACATAAGACTCCCTCAGCAGCTCCGTGGCGTTCTCCAAAGTAGTCTCCGACCCTACCTGTTCCTTTAGGGCCAGGTACTCAACACTAGACGTGTTGAATGTGCAACTACCATTGCCAGCAGCAGCCGAGCTGAGGCCACTCCTAGGGCTCTGCAGCTCCGACATTGACAAGGGAATCGCCATCGCGGCCGACTCTACTATAGGGGGGCTGCTGGGGCACACCGAGGGCAGACGTGGACGGGTAAGGACATCCTCCTCAGACATAAGGCGATGGTGCCGACTAAGGTGATGCCTACTGCTACTGCGTGACCGATGTTTTAGAGTATACTGGGCATACTGTACTCTACCGTAAGCCCCCTCCCCTATGGTGTCAATTATGTTAATCTGTTCCATGGGCAGGTGCCTGTCTGCGAGAACGGGGTTACTCAATGCGTCTGTCACCGCCACTGGCGACCTCATGTGTCGATCTATGCTACACGCCTGAGGAACAGCAGTATAGGAATAAACAGCTCAGAAATTCCCTCACTTATTACACCAGCCGACATATGAATGAGATTATGAGCACGAAAAACCAACGATAATTTTCCCAGAATTTCCTCATATTGCGACCGACACATGTAGTTGACCATTCGCATATCCCTATTACCTTCAACAGCACCTGTTGCATCCTCTCTACTGCATTCACCTCTGCCAAGGTCATGTCCAACTCCTCAGCCGCCGTCCCCCCGTGGAGCATTCTCTCCAGATCTTCACCATCATACGACTTAGCCGATATCAATAACGACGACCTCGTCAACCCCATCAACTCTAACCATGCCGCTATCTCAAATCTATCCATACAATGTAGCGGTAGTATCGCTGAGTCGTACAGCTCAGGAAGCTCAGGGCCCGGCTGCAGCGGCACTGGGGTGACCGGACTGATCCCAATCATATGATAGCGCCACTGCTCAGCCCGTCGCACATGAGCCGTATAGACACATTCACTTTGCCTGACGCCATTATCATCAGTTCTCACCCACACAGAGTTGATAGGCTGCGTGAATGGGGAGATCGAAATGCCCTCCAAGAATTGGCCCTTGTCGAATCTGCCAACTTTCCACACAGCATCTTCGGTGACCTTGAACCCATACCCCGTGAACTCATCACTCTTCCAGTCGCCCTCGAAGGTCTCAGAGCTCAGCTCCCCCACATGGGCCCCTTCAGCTTGGACCCAATACCTCCCAAACCCCTCCCTTTTCCCCCCAACCAGACTGCCCGTGTACGCCCCTCTCCTGGGGTCGTTCTCATACCACACCGAGCCGTAACCAGTTATCTGGTCCTGTGTTGGGTCAAAATTTTCCCGCAGCCACCGAGGGAATTGCCCAAGGGGATGCAGAGGCCCCTCGGCTGGCAGTAGGGTCGAAAAGCGAGCTCGGAAAACGGCAGCCGCTCGAGGCGCGTAGGTCGATATTACATAACGATTAGTAACGAATTTCCCATCAGAAGTGACAAGCTCAGCTTGCCTGACCTTAAAACCAGCGGTCATGATCAGTAGATGCAAAAAAGCTGCCAATCCTGCTTGGTTCACGCTAGTCACCTCAGCTTCAAATATGTACCCCCAAATGCCCGGTCGTCGTGGACGATAACCGTGATGACGCGGCAACGCTACTGGACGGTCGTAACGAGTGCGGGGCCACTCCAAAGGTAAGTTGCGGATGGAGTGGTAGCTGTCAATAAGCTCGAATTTTCTCAACGATATGAGATCTTCTATACCTGTTGGAGCAATAGCCACCACCGTTCCTTCACAGTACTACATAAAAGTCCATTCTCGGGCGCCTCGTCAGCGGAGCCCGTCAATGGGCTCTTGCCGTTATCATAAAGATGGGCACTCAGCATCACAGACCTGTGCATCATGATAATAATAGTCGATCTATCTAGCCTTACTCTAGGTCCTCTCGAAGGGTACTCAAGGTGGGCCCTTGAGGGTCATCAAAGACACTCGTTGCTCTGGTCAAGCCGAAGTACCCCACAAAGCCGATGCCACCACGTCCTCCGGAGTAGTTGTAAAAACTCTGAAACGAAGCCCTAGGGTCGACAGCAGTAGCTGTTGTGGTTACCTCGCTGGCTACTGGGTTCCCCAACAGGTCCCCGTCACCCATCATATAGATGCGACCCCTCAACATGTCCATGCCCCTCCAAGCCAGCCAAGTAAGCATTCTCTGTAGTATCCTGTCTGTGAGGTCAGCGGCATGGAGTTGGACCACATCATCGTTTTTAGATATATGCCGACAATCGACCGAAGCACGGACCACAGGGTTGCTCCGGTCCACTGTGGTGAGGCTCACTAGTCTCGGTGGGGGGTTGTAGAAGGATATAGGAGGCTGTGGGACGGCGATTACTGCTGACCCTGAGGGAAAGCATTACCATCATTGTTACATACCACACCTTTGGTACTTCTTCTAGCCACCGACCAACCATCGCCACTGTTCTTCCTACTAGTAGCTGCTACAGTGGCATAGGCCGCCTTCTGATCATCGTCGTCCTCTAGGCCCTTCATTTCGAACGACATGTACCCTCCAGCTGAGTCGCTCCTTAGGTTCTGCCCAGGAAAGGACGCTGACTCGGCCGACGAGATGAGGCTATCAACAGACCCTCGATGATGGTGGTGGGCAATGGTCATCACCATTATCAACAACGGCTAGGAAGTGATGGTGGTGTGGTATGTGTTTGTTCGGCTCAGCCTACTCCCACTAGTACTCAACACATCGTAGTGAGAAAGACTGATAATAGTCGGTATGCAGACATGATTTGTATCATGCATGAATCAACCTCAGATACTTTTCAATGAGCCCACTTCCATCACAGGGACCTGCCCCCGCAGCTGCAGTCTAGACTCACCACAAAAAGTGTAATCTTGAACACTTGTAATTTCTCACCGATACGCAATCCCCATTCCGCTGTCACATCACCCGATCACAACTAAACCGTTATTGTAACGCCGTCGAACATGCCAACCACTACTGCCAATTCTGCTCAGATTGGCACCTCGACTAAGCCCTTGGTCCCGAAGGAACAAATCAAAGGCGACGATGATGCCACCGTGGATGTCACGGAGGCCACTAAAGAGCTGCTTACTTCCGATGATTGGAAGAGTAAAATTGAACGCCCCACCGCCGATACTCGCGTGAAGACTACTGATGTTACTGCTACTAAGGGTAACGACTTTGAGGACTACTTTTTGAAGCGCGAGTTGCTTATGGGTATCTTTGAGAAGGGTTTTGAGAAGCCCTCACCTATTCAGGAGGAGTCTATCCCTCCAGCTTTGGCCGGTAAGAATATTCTTGCTCGTGCTAAGAATGGTACTGGTAAGACCGCCTCATTCCTTATCCCTATGTTGGAGAAGGTTAATACCGACATCACTGATGGCATTCAAGGACTTGTCCTCGTACCTACCAGAGAATTGGCTTTACAGACATCTGCTGTTGCCAAGGAGCTTGGCAAGTATATGGATGCTCAAGTTATGGTTACCACTGGTGGTACTTCTTTGAGGGATGATATTATGCGTTTGTACAACACGGTGCATATCCTTGTTGGTACTCCTGGACGTGTTCTGGATCTTACCAACAAGGGCGTTTGCTCTTTGAGTGATACTTGCACTATGTGTGTGATGGATGAGGCTGATAAACTTTTATCCCCCGAATTCCAACCTGTTGTCGAAGAATTGGTGCGGTTCCTACCCAAGGAGAAGCGTCAGATTCTCATGTTCTCTGCCACCTTCCCGGTTACCATATTGGACTTCAAGAATAAGTATATGCCCGATGCTGTTGAGATCAACCTGATGGAAGAGCTCACTTTGAAGGGTGTTACCCAGTTCTATGCCTTCGTTGAGGAACGTCAGAAGGTTCACTGCTTGAACACTCTTTTCTCCAAGTTGACTATCAATCAGGCTATCATCTTCTGCAACTCCGTCACTCGTGTCGAATTGTTGGCCAAGAAGATCACCGAGCTCGGTTTCTCATGCTTCTATATCCACGCTAGGATGTATCAGTCTCACAGAAATCGTGTATTCCATGACTTCCGTAATGGTGCCTGCAGATGCTTGGTGTCCTCTGATCTATTCACTCGTGGTATCGATATCGAGAATGTCAATGTGGTTATCAACTTTGATTTCCCCAAGAACTCTGAGACTTATCTACATCGTATCGGTCGTTCCGGCCGCTTTGGTCACTTGGGAATTGCTATCAATATGCTCACTTATGATGATAGGTTCAACCTTTATAGAATTGAGCATGAGTTGGGAACCGAGATCAAGCCCATCCCTAGCCATATCGATGAAGCTCTATATTGCTAAATACGTAGTTAGCGGCCTTAAGTCTCGAGTGTATTGGAAAGACAGTCTGGTCCCTATCATCTCAAAGGGGGTTCCTTGATTTCAATGCCTCTTGTCTATAATCATCTATATGTCTCGAAGTGATTAAGGGGTGTTTCGAGGAGGATGTTGATCGAGACGCCTCAAGGTGGAAATATTAGCAGTGACTTGATTGTATTGCGTTATAGTCGGAACATGTGCTGAGAATACCCAACGAGAATATTCATCCTTATCGAGAAGAATCACTCCAACGAAACGCGATTCACCTGCTAGTCAAGAAACTTTATGAATGATACCGAGTTGGTACTTCAACGCAGCGTGTGTTGGCAGAGAGACGTGATATAAGGCAGGGTCGTTATCACTATTCGCCACGATGGTTTCATCTACAATATGTGGCACTCGTTACTTTCTGCTATCGAGAGATAATTCTTGCCTTTCGATATCGCTGCAATGTACGTGCCCTTGGACTTGCACTGAAACGAGTTACATGATTTTATGAACTACTCGCAATATAATATAAGCATCATAATATGGCCAATGAGTATGACCAAGCTACATAACACACCACAGTGATCAGACGACCCCATGGATATAGCATAGCAATTCATGAGCAATAGCTGTCGTGCATCCTCCTCGACACAATCATACACCCCCATCTCCCTTCCCATGTAGACTATCCGATTCCGACAACACCCCGGAAGCCTATTCCGATACGAATTGAAAAAATGGGAAGAATTTAAAAACTTAGAAAATTACGTTTTCGTAGGTCTCAGAGATAAACTTCTCTAGCTGGGGCGACTATGCCACAGGACTAAGATCTGCCTCAGTAAACCGATTTTGCATGAGGGGCAGATATGCCAACGACGAACTGAGGTCCTGGAACTCCAGCCCGACGTCTTATCCTCTTAGAGGTTATGCCGAAGAAATTGATCCCCTAATCGAAAACACCTGCAAATCTGGTCTTACCAAGTCATATCTTGAGGCTGTGGCATAGCCGCCCCAAAAAATGATCAGACTTGAACGATGTGTGTACAGTATTGCTAACATAATACCCTCCATTGGAGGGTCTCGTACGATGAAATTCCTTATTACTCTGACTGTTGTTCAATCGCGCGAGGCAGCGAAACTTTGAGTAGATGAATGCATATGATGTATTACTCGTTATAAAGGGGAGGTTTCAGTGGAGACTGGTACCCAATTACAACACAATGCATGTAACGCACTAGTAATGTTCCCAACAGCGTGGAGTTGTGCACATTGTGCCCGTCAAAATAGACATACATAGTTATGGATAAGAAGCAATGGAACAAAATCAAGGAACCCTCTTTTAAGACAATAGGGACCAGACTATCTTCCCCTCACACTCGAGACTTATAGGCCACTAACTACGTATTTAGCAATATAGAGCTTCATCAATATGACTGGGGATGGGCTTGATCTCGGTTCCCAACTCATGCTCAATTCTATAAAGGTTGAACCTATCATCATAAGTGAGCATATTGATAGCAATTCCCAAGTGACCAAAGCGGCCGGAACGACCGATACGATGCAGATAAGTCTCAGAGTTCTTGGGGAAATCAAAGTTGATAACCACATTGACATTCTCGATATCGATACCACGAGTGAATAGATCAGAGGACACCAAGCATCTGCAAGCACCATTACGGAAGTCATGGAATACACGATTTCTGTGAGACTGATACATCCTAGCGTGGATATAGAAGCATGAGAAACCGAGCTCGGTGATCTTCTTGGCCAACAATTCGACACGAGTGACGGAGTTGCAGAAGATGATAGCCTGATTGATAGTCAACTTGGAGAAAAGAGTGTTCAAGCAGTGAACCTTCTGACGTTCCTCAACGAAGGCATAGAACTGGGTAACACCCTTCAAAGTGAGCTCTTCCATCAGGTTGATCTCAACAGCATCGGGCATATACTTATTCTTGAAGTCCAATATGGTAACCGGGAAGGTGGCAGAGAACATGAGAATCTGACGCTTCTCCTTGGGTAGGAACCGCACCAATTCTTCAACAACAGGTTGGAATTCGGGTGATAGAAGTTTATCAGCCTCATCCATCACACACATAGTGCAAGTATCACTCAAAGAGCAAACGCCCTTGTTGGTAAGATCCAGAACACGTCCAGGAGTACCAACAAGGATATGCACCGTGTTGTACAAACGCATAATATCATCCCTCAAAGAAGTACCACCAGTGGTAACCATAACTTGAGCATCCATATACTTGCCAAGCTCCTTGGCAACAGCAGATGTCTGTAAAGCCAATTCTCTGGTAGGTACGAGGACAAGTCCTTGAATGCCATCAGTGATGTCGGTATTAACCTTCTCCAACATAGGGATAAGGAATGAGGCGGTCTTACCAGTACCATTCTTAGCACGAGCAAGAATATTCTTACCGGCCAAAGCTGGAGGGATAGACTCCTCCTGAATAGGTGAGGGCTTCTCAAAACCCTTCTCAAAGATACCCATAAGCAACTC